CCAGCCAAGATGGGTTTCAACGGTTTACGGACTGAACGCCAGGAGCCCTCTCCTTTTCGGATGAGGGCCCCCCAGGGTTAAGTTGAGCGGTCAGTGATCGGAGGCTTTGAAGCGAGACGTGGGCTCTGTGACCCAGGAAGCGCCCCGACTCCGTGGGTCCCACGTCCAGAGCCCGCCCCGCGTCAGGCTGAATCCAGGAGTTCCAGAAGAGCGCCGACCGCGCCAAAATAACCCTGGAGAGCAAAGAGACGGGGGCACCCGTTACGCATTCGACCAGCCACGCAAACCAGAGCGTTACACACCCAGCGCCATTTTAACACCGTACAAAAGGTGGTGGGGAGGAACAACCCCAGGCGGGCGCAGTACAAAACCCGATTTTGCCCGTAACCGCTGCAGCGCGAGGCGGAGCGGCACAGAACCGCCTGCGCTGTCAGTGGTCTTAGAAGCCAGCTCACGAGCAAGATGAGCCTGGTAGTAAATGATCCCGGTATTGGCCACTGTACACGTGGCTCTCGTGAGCCCACGGGCGACCGTGCCTGTGGCTGCAGTCACAAAGCACTGACAAGCGGCTGCAGGCTCCCCGCGGCTCCTCCCAGAGCCTACAAAGGTTTTTGGGTTTTTTTTCTCTTTTTTACGCGAGACAAAATAAATTTAAAAAAATTTAAAAAAAAGTAAATTTCACCTCATGTTCCAAGAAAAGTGCTTTCAGCTGCCCCTTCGACCAGTAGTCCAAAGCGTACGCCAGAAGCCTCATGGAAATTGTATTGATGCGAAGGAAATTGCCAACGAACACCACTCGATTGATGTTCTGCAAGTAGCAGGGGGGGGGAAAGAAAAAAATAGAGTGTTAAGGCTGAATTCCAATTTCCTGCTTGCAATGATGAAAACCCCACCTTAGAGTAAGAAGAAAAAAGTTACACTTCTAGCACCCTTTAAAAACACCATATGCAGCTTTCCAAACACATTTTCCAGCGAGACTCGGTGAAAAACAACCAGCTGAGAGCAGAGGGAAATCACCAGTTCACACAACAGCAACCAAATCCAGGGGAGCTGCCTCACCCCGAAGAGCAGAGCCTGGCAGCCAGGGAGCGCGACTGCCTTGGCGAGCGGGGAGGGGAGCTGCAGAGAGAGGAGTTACAATGCACTTGTAGCTTTCTGAACTTAGAATTTTAAAACTGGACCCAGAAGAGCCGGCATGTGAGCAAGAGATGACACCGAGTCGGCTTGGAGTCTGGCAGCAGCAAGAGATGGTTTGAAAGAGCAAGGCAGGGCGCGTCGAGATGGTCAGGAACTGTGCTGGGGGGCAGAGACTACGCTGAAAGACAGAAAAAAAGGACTGTGCTGGGCACTGGGGGGGCCGCCCCTCGACTGCTGGGGTCAGGGTTGGGCCCCTCCCTCCCCGAAGGACCTGGGGGGGCTGGAGCGTGTCCAGAGAAGGGCAGCGGAGCTGGGGAAGGGTCTGGAGCCCCAGGCTGCTGGGGAGCGGCTGGGGGGGGCGGGGGGGTTCAGCCTGGAGCAGAGGAGGCTGAGGGGAGCCCTCAT